GCCCCGCCCACGCGCCCTCCGCCATTGGGCGGCGCCGCCGGCGCCCCGCCTCTCCCGCCAGCGCATTGGTCACGTTCAGACGCAGCCCCACCCACAGCGGGCTGGCTCCTCGGCCTCCCCGCCCACTTATAGCCGAGCCGCTGTCCCCGCCCACAGGCGACCCTTCGCGATTGGGCGGCCCGTCCTGAAGCCCCGCCTGCCCGCCCCGCCCGCATAGGCACGGGCACCGCGGCTTTTGGCGAGTGCCCAAGGTTATTGGTGGCGCTGCCTGTCAATCGCCGGGGCAAAGACACTCCGGATCGAGAAAGGACCCCAGCTCAGGGCTGTTTAGATTGTGCCTGTCTGAGAGGGAGGACAGAGCATGGCCGTTAGCACCCTTGCGAAACGCTCCTCTGGCCGCAGCAAAGCAGTGTAGCCGTGGGCTCCGTGAGGGACCTCTGTTCCTCTCTGCGCTGCCTCAGGTTTGGGAGCCAGCGTCACCTTCCCGCAGCGGGCGGGGCGCGGGCAGCCATGGAGGGCGGGGTCGTGGCGCGGCTGTCGGCGGCGATGGCGGCGGCGCGGGCGGGCGCGGCCTGGCCGTGGCTGTGGCTGGCGGCGCTGCAGGCGGTGAGGCGCCCGGGCCCGGCCGCGGGGCGAGCGCAGCGCGAGGCGAGGCGAGGCGAGGCGGCGCGGGCAGCGCCCCGGCCCCGAGCCGCCGCCTCCTCGCCGCCCTGCGCCTGCCCCGAGCTCGCGCTGCTGGGGTTGTGGCCGAAAATAGGAACGGGTTTGGGGGGGCACGAGGTGCCTGGCGCGTCCTGGCGCGGGAGGGTCCCGGGGGGAGCGTCCCCGTTGGGGACAGGCCGCTGCTGTCCTGTGCTGCGCAGCTCGAGCCCGTTATGTCTGTTAGGCATCGCGTGAGCTGCAGCGATGGGCGKTACGTGGGAGCCCTCTGAGCGGTTCTTACTTTAATGACTATTAATACTCCTTAAAGCAGTGTGTAGTAATGCTCTGTTTGCTTTTCTGCGTAATATTATTTAACGTGAAACCAAAGCCCTACAGGAGGGTGTGCTGCTGCAGCGAGGCGCATCCCCRCCTGCATAACCCAAGTTACCTTGTCCTGGGGGGAACCAGCGTCCGAAACGCAAGGGTGCTTTTCTCGTCCCAAACAGAAACAATTACTGTCGCTTATTGTCATAGGGTCATACAATAACTGTAGTACTAAAATTTGAGGAAAATTCTGCAGAGACCTAGAAACTCTCTTTTTTTTGTCTTTGTACTGTCTATCAGTTTTGAGCCTGTTAAGTAACCAGAGCTTTCCCCTCAGAAGACTGTTCTGATGGAGATTTTACTTGCTTCATAAACTGTCTTTTTCTCAAAATAGGACAGTTTTGACCTGCACTGACGTGCACAGATATTCTAGGAATCTGCTGCAGAAAGATATGAGGAATGTTGCTGGTGGAAGCAGAGCTGTCAATGCCAGTAACACCATTCTGATCCTAGGCTAACAGGCTCAAAATGAGAAGAAAATGGCCATAAAGTTGTGCAGCGGGGTGGGTGGCAGACACCAAAGCACAGGAAAACTGTTTYAACTATTCTTATCACTAGTAATTGCAGTGAAGTTCTGCACTGTCTAGTATCATAGAAGTCACGTCAGCTAATACACTTGACACAAAATTAGAATCCTACCTGTGAGTTCGGGTCRCTTCATCACTCCGATTGTGCTTTCCCCAAGGCCAAGCTTTGCTCTTATTTTACTTTACACTTTACTTTTACTTTAAGCTTTACACTTATTTTCCGAGTGCATCTTCAGTGATGTGAATTTACTAACGTTGCTTCAGGAGAGGATGCTTTGGAGAGCTCCACCTTTGTGAATTTCAGCCAGTTCAGATCTGATGTTTCTTGGGCTTCTCTGGGAGCTAGCAATATAAGGACACTAGACTTGTTAGACATGTACGTAAAAGTGGATTTTCACAGATGTGGTATCTTGAGCACGTGTGTTATTGCTGATAGCTAGAGTTTGTTACTCTAACGCCATTCTTCAAAATAAGAGGGGTTTTCTTATCACTTAGGGATGAACATTACGTGTTGTGGTAAAATGGTTGCAAGAGACTTACTTGTTCCTTCTAAGGGCTAAAGTGTTAAAAATTACTTTTTGTTTACATAATTATTTAATACTAAAGTGTAGCATTACATTCATTTTCAGGTAACTGTATATGGCTCGCAGTTGTCATCGGAAGCTTGCAGAGAACTGGGTTTCTCCAGTAACTTGCTATGCAGTTCCTGCAACCTTCTGGGACAGTTCAGTCTGAATGAGTTGGATCCATTCTGCAGGCAGTGCTGCCAGGAGGAAGCTCAGCTGGAATCCAGAAAGGTGAGTTTGGGACCTCTGTGGAATATTTTAATATATAATGTGAAATTTATGGGTTTTGGTTTTTATGTATAAGAACTTGGATTATAATCTGAAGTGGAAAATGCAAGATTTCTTCACAGTCCAAAATACACAGGGTCAGGATTTGCAGGCCTRCCATACTTCTTGCTCCAAAAAAAAGTCCCAGGTTGAGCAGAGGCACCTTTGATGCTGTGTTGTGTAGTAATTAATGGAAGCTGTGTCCAGTTTTTCATATTGAAACTTGCTAAAGAAATGGAGATGATAGAAATACAGGATAATAAGGATGGACTTACTGATGACAGCTGTTGCACAGCCATTGGTCCATGCTGTAATGGCCAAGATATTACAGACAAGGAAAGCAAAACAAATCATTGAACTTTGATTAATAAAAGCAGAAGACTAAGCACAATTATTTCTGCTATTAAAGTCCAACAATTTTACGTTTACCTGTTAATTTGCTTTCATAGGAGCCTGGCAGAAACATCTCTACTCACCTCCTTTCTGCAGTGCAAGGGTTGTAACAGCTAGAAATAAGGTACTAAAGCGAGAAAGAGTACTTGCACATCTCTTGAAAAGAATGCATATTTTCAAATACATTTTAATTTAAGAGTTCTCTAGAATACATAGAAGACCACGTAATTATCTAAAGAGTAGTGAAATCAAGACGTGATGTTGAAATTACTGTTAATGCTTTGGGGATAGATAAATAACTGACAACATGAAATGAAGGAGGAAATCTAGCCTTTTTTTCATGTTAATCAAATTCAGCATAATAATAAAAAGCCTGTCTATTAGTTTTAAAGTATCACTGACTACAGTGCTGAATAGAACATAGTGGATATCAAAAAGCAAATGTTTGAGAATTGTGGAAAACTAATAATTGCTAGTTCCCATTAAAACTAAGGTACTGGAAGATAATTAAGGTGAGAGTTACGCTTCTGTGGAGACTTAAATCACACTGTTTGATATATTAAATTTTGCAGTAATATTTCAGTAAAACCATTATGTGACTTGACATCTAAAACTTTCAAGATTTTCTCCCTGCCAGATAAAATAAATCTTGTAAAGGAAAATTTAATGTTTGTTCTGGAAAATGCTCCAGCTATATATGAGTGCGTGTGTGTAAGTGATGACACAGCAGTGATGGCAGGAGCGAGGCTTCCTGACCTCCCATCAAAGGGAGGCACTGCTGTTTGCTCAGGTCGTGATGTTGCGATTTTGCCTCAGTGCGCGTAGAATGGAGCATGAGAGTTGGTGGAGCRGGAAAATTAGTATTGTCGTTTGTTGGGAAACTATAGGAGATGCGTTGGATTTTTGTCAATATGATATGAGGCAAAAAAAAGATCATTCCTCTCTCAATTTATCAGTAATTTACTCAGATATCTCATGTTTCCTATTCTAAACATTGTTGTATTAATAAAACTTTGATTAAAGATCAGAGTTTAAGTAGGTTTTTTTTTCTAGTTATGCTGAATAAGACCTAGATTTCATCACATGGTTAAACATGGTGTCCGTGCAAAATKGATCAAATTCTGGTTTGGGATCAGGCCCTACAGTAAAAATATTTATGCCAAGACAGTTTTAGTTTTTAGTCATTCTGAATGTAGTCAAACAAAGGAAGGGAGTGCTGGAAGGAGAGTATGTAGATTGTTTGACATATCTCTTCAGGGTGAGCCAGGTCTTATTGTATTTTCAGAGGAAATTTATAGATTGTTTAGTTAGAGATTGTTTAAGTTTGCTCTTTCTAATGTGTTTGTGTTGGGCTTTGTATCAAACAAACAGCTCAGTATGTTTCATTTCCTGGTCTTATTCTTAGTTCAATATTCTGTGAATTGACATTTCAGCAGATAGCAATGAGATGCCCGTGTTATCCAGTATTTTCCTCATTCTAACTTCTGCTGACATCTGTCCCATCAGATATTTTAATTACTTCATAATTTTGCTGTAGTTAAGCAAACAAAAAAGGCATATTTTCTCCTCTTCTGGAAACTTTGCATTCAGTTTAGGACTAATTCAGAAGCTGGGTTAAATGGTATTGCTTTCGACAGCTGCAAGTTTTTAAGTCTGTCAGCTGCGCAGTRCTGCTGGTGTGTAAAATGTAGAAGGATGAAATGGAGGTGAAGGTAACTGCGCGTGAAATTGTAGTAGCAGGAGAGATTGTCCATATTTGGCAGGAGCTGAAAATAGCAGCACTCCATCTGCAGGTTCTCTTACTCTGTGTGATCATTTCAGACATACATATAAGCATATCTCATTAACTGTATATTATAATCTTCGCTTTATCTGCAACAATGGATTAGTGTCAAGATGCAATTTGATTTTAAGGATCAACCATGTGGTGAAATCTGCAGTGCATTCTGTATCAGCAGTTGTGGTGTGCAGGATTGCTACAACCCTTAAAAGTCATCAATATGATTTCTAAATTGAGCTTGTCATATATTTTGCATAGTAAGGTGTGTTGAATTTTCAATGTCTGTAGTCAATATTTGCAATGTAGTAACGTTGTGCAGTTTGGTGAATTAAGTAGCTTGACATCAAATATAGGCAAAAGATTGCCAAGCAATTTGGGGCATTAGAATACATGGGTGAGGTGGCTAATTGTCATGGGTGACATCACATGCGTGTCTACCATATGCTTGAAATGTTATCATGGCTAGATAGTCYGTGATTGTACTGTAAAACAGGATAAATATTGATGCAGAAGTCTGTATACATGACTCTAAAGTCCTTCAAGGATGGATAGCTGTTCCACTGTAGTTCCGCAAAACTTGCAAAATCTTGAGATTTTTAGCATTTTTTTTTCTCTTGCTCATATTCAGGATTATCAAAATATTATAGTCTGTCCAAGTATTTCATTAGAATATTTAGCCTGTACATTTTAGCATGGTGAGAAATGTAAAGTTACTAAAGTTAGAGAACTGCTTCACTTCATGGCAGCTCAGTCATATCAATATACATTCTCCTCCTTTTTTAGATTATATTCTCATCAATTAAAAAATAATATTGACAAAGTCATCCTAGATAAGGAACTTAACTAATGGGTACCTAAGACATTTACCATCTTTCAGCTGAATTAGATGGGTTAAAGGTTTATCTATTTATTTATCACRTAAATGAAGATGAAAGGCAGTAATTTTCTGTAGGAGGGGAAGCCCAACTTAGTGCAGACTTTTTTTCTAGCCCTATCAATAAATGAAAATGAAGAGGTAACAAAAATGGTACATGCAATAAATGTGACTTAAAAATGATGTGCATCTGTGCTGGAAGATAGATTAGGTTCAAGTCTGAACTCCTTTCTTCATTTGGATATACCCAAAAACATTGGCATTTAAATATGTATCCATTGAAATAATTAATTAAGTGTGCAAAGTCAATGAATAGTTGATAAACTCCATTCTCAATGTTTTCTTTACAATTCTCATAAAATGCTTTTGTAAATAAAAGAAATTCTGAAGAATAGATGTTCAAGTATTTTATTTATAGATGTAAATAGATGGTTATGTAGCTAACAATTATYTGAACAGCACGTTGCAAAACTGGAACATGAAAACTGCCAACTATCTCAAGATTTTAGCTTACCTTTTTCTGTTCACCAGCTTCAAATGAATGTTCRTGAGCTTCAAATGAGTAGTACACAACATGGCTTCACAGAGGTCTAAATTGCTGTTTGCTCAGCTCTTAATGTCTCGGGGCCTTTTGCTGTATCTCTCTCTCTCTCTCTCCAACACCTTCCCCCCTTGCCTAGTGCCAGATCCTTTGCTCACCTGACCTTGCATGAAGCCATTTCAGAGTGCAAAGTTAGCAAAAACTCAGCTGTTGGGAGAGAGTGAGGGTAGGATTTTTTTCCCTTTTCCTTTTTTTTTTTTTTTTTTTTTTTGCTCTTGTTAGTTTTTAAAGAGCAAAAATATTTATACAATACATAGAAGAGCCAATTGTTTAATAACAAAAATAGAACAGTTTTATGTGGATGCCATATTTTCAGTATGCTTACAATTATTATAATAATGCACAAATATGCAAGTTTAATCTCTTGTTCAAAGGCAAGCTCAGGGCTTTTCTGGTCAAGCTCTGAAGATCTCCAGGGAGGAACATTCCATAACTCTTCCTGGTGACTTATTTCACTGCTTAACCACTCACTTAATGCTTTTTCTTATATATAATTCTCTCCTTATATTCAGTTGCATACTTTGCTGCAGATAAATCAGAGCTTAGATTCTGCATCGGGTTCTTCAAAGCAATTTGACTATCATAAATCACCCTGGCTACAGAAATAGCACTCATTCAGAGAGAACTGTCTTTTGACTAYTGGAGTCTTTGTTTCTAGACTTGCATTTAGAGTTAGGCATCTCCCTGCACAGGATAAGGAGTTGTGAATGAGAGCGACTCCTTTGTTGCTAGATTTACTGATGACCTCAGTTCTGAATGATCTGTGTGTGCAGCAGTGACTTTATTATAAAGGCTATATGTATTACAGAGCAGTAATTCATAGTGCTCCTGGCAGAGAGGCTTTCTGACTGATGCTCTGTTGATCTGCAGATTCTTGTTAATTTTTATCTCCAGGGAACACTAGCGTGACTTTTGTCAAATTCTTACCTTCTCCCCTTTATAAAATAAAATCCTCAACACATTTTAAAATTTGTTCTAGTAAATATAACAATTGAGTAAATGTACTATGTTGAAGATTTTAAGAATCAGGAAAAAAAGAAGGTACCACAATCTCAGACAGAAGAACAAATATTAATTACCTGCACTTTTTGCTATTTGGGGGCAGGTGGAGGGGACACAATTAATGTAAATAGACTTTTAAAAGGAGATAATATGCTCTGTGCTAAAACAATACCTGTCTGCAAGTGCCAAGCAACCCTGRTAATGAGAGCAGCAGTAGTCATGTTCTGACTCATTTATTTATTTTTATTTTAAGATAAAAATGGTGTGAGTTGACCTCATGAGTGGCTCTTTTAGTCAGAGAGGCTTAAATAGCACTGCAAAAATCAAAATTTCAGTAAATTTTGTAAAAACAGATTGTTCACACTTGAAAGAGATTAGCTGTTGGGTAAATATTTAGYGGGAGATTGTCTTGTAATTGAGGCAAGTGGCAATTCCAGGGTGTTAGCTATAGAAGCAATTCATGGGTTTTTTTTTTGTTTTCTCTTAGAGCTTAACATTGTTCTTAAACCATCTGATATTAGGAGAGGAAAATGTGTAGATACGGGAGAGAGCCGAGATGCCCCAAGATAGCTGTCAGCCTGTGTGGCTTTATCGTAACCGCCGCCTTGGTTGCGCGTTCCGAGACAGGACGGTTCGTATAAACCCTGCACCAAGCAGTGGTCCCGGGGCAGCCTGCCACGTGGCAGCTCTTCCCTTTTCCTTCATCTCAGTTCCTGCGGGGCTGTGAGCACTAACGGTTCTGCAGCAGCTGCAGTGTTTTATTTTGCTTTGTTTTGTTTCTTTTTCTGTGAGGTTCTCATAAGTAATTGTGATTACAGGACCTGCTTATAAATCAACCACTGTGGAATTTCTTGCAGAAATTACTTAATTCTGTTCCTAATACGAAGYGAAAGCTTAGTTTTCTCTCACCTTAATCAAGATTTCCTGTTTTTAATTGATGGAACAGTTACATTACAGATTTTTACCTAACACTGTTGCTGTGTAAATGGTGTTTTCTTCTGTGACAACTACCACTTCTCCTTTAGCAGTCCCATTGCCACAGTGATGGTGTGGTTTTCTGCTGTAAAGAGGAAGACTCTTCTAAAGAGCCATCTTATTTACCAATAAAAATACTATGATTTTTTGGTACTTCCAGAAAACTGTTGAGTGCAATTTAACCAAATGTGATGCTTTATGAAAGATGAGGGAAAAGTTCACACTCCRTCATGATAGCCTTGGAAAGCTACTGTTGGAATGCCTCAAACAAGCCAAGCTATTTTTGTAGATGCAGACATGAATCAGCCTGGAAACCATGACAGGACTTATTGTAGATGTTGAAGTGGATACCAGTAATGGTTTGAGAGCTTTGAATTCACTTCTTTTAGTACTAAATTGACTTTCATGAGCTCTAAAACAAGAGAAGCATTATTCTAAACTGAGCTAACTTATGAGTTAAGTATTGTGTGCTGAACTGGGGTGTCCTGTTTGCATGTCTGCCCACCGAGTGGTACGTGTCATTCCTAGTAGACTGCAAGCCAGTAAATGCCTTCACAAAGGAAGTTTGCGGGACTTCTGCTCTGCACATGACGGGATGCTTGCAGCAATCAGTATTAATAGGCATACTCTTGTGGGCTTTGGAAGTGATGCAAAAAAACCTGTGTTTCTTGCAAAAGACACCTTTGTTCACAATTATAAATGAAGCTTTCTTTTATCTTTCTTTTTTTTTCCCCTTTTTCCCTTTTTGTCTAGCCATCTAGTGAGAGATAGCATAAAGCAGCTGGTTGTCTCTGCATGAATCTGAACCCTTTTGTATCRGCACAGTTGGACTTCAATTGTGGCAGTCATAAGCTCAGAATATAGACATCAGTGACTGACCAGTTTCTATTGTGAATCTGTGCTATCAGTTACCAGCTAGGAGTTAGAAATGAGGTGGTTTTTTGTTTGTTTGCTTGCTTGTTTGTTTGTTTTTTAATTAAAGCGTATCTTGCATATTGGAGGCCCCTACGTTTGTCTTGCTTCTGCAAAACCCTTGTTTGAAAGGAAGACATATACCAGAAGACTTACTTGCAGTGCTGAGAGCTGAAATCACTTTACTGTTATCCTAAATATTTAGCTCTCTACACACACACACACACACACACATATATATATATTATAAAAAAAATAAATGTTTAAGAAAAGGTTCCTTATTCCTCTGAGTCTACTAATTTCTTCACAGAAAGATGAAGACTGTTGTTGTTGGCATAAAATCTCTATAGATGTTCAGTCCATTAGTGAACCTGCAATTTCTGAATCCAGGTTTGTTGGTAGAATTAAGTGGAGATTTTTTGTTTTGTTTTGTTGGTTTGATTTTTTTTTTAAGAACACTGAATAGGGAGAAGGTAAGCAAAGTTTGTAATGACATGAATTAAACTTTCATCCATCTTTGATACCATTCTTATTTTCTTTTTTCTTCTCTCAAATCTGGAGGCACTTAATCATGCAAGCTAGTATCTGAGGTTAGCTAGTATCTGAGGTTAGCTATTTATCAGTGGCTTTATAATTAAAAACCCTATTTGAGGGTGAAAAAATCTTTAAAATCTGGTATTTTTAATCTCTCAAGTACTCAAGTGTTGCTTCATAGAAAAGTTATGGGTTTCAACAATCAAATTTTAGTTTTTATCTTGAATCTAATGTTCAGTTGAAAATGTTAATGTAGTTGAGCACATTACTGAGATGCTGTTCTGAGCAGATAATGCAGACTAATACTTTTAGTTCCGTTTCCTGGGGATGTAATGATACCAATTAGTTCAGGTCTGGCAAGAAGTCATAATTTCSCAGCAAATGATTAGAGCATTTCATGTGTTCTGATCCGTAGTACTTAGGCAAATGTTGAGTTTGACCTGAATTCAGAAGATTGATATTCCTGAGATACAAATGTATTCCTGGCTGTCTGTAATGCCTAGATAGATCAGTGATTAAGTTTAAATAAAAATGTCTTATTTTGAGATCTCTGTCATATTGTATCTGGGTTGCTTTTATGGCTTGTCACTCCTTGTTCAGAAGTGCTAATAYTCATTAAATTTCATTGTAAAAATTTGGGTATGATAATGTGAATTTACAGTTCATAGTTTAAGTGAAATGTGAGTTTTCCAGGATTTTCGTTAAGGTTATATTCTTTTTTTATCATGCAAATGCCCATGTGTTATGAAAATAGTCTAAAGGAAAATGGGAGCAGGGGTCTTATTTACAGTATATGAGGGATTGGATTAATTTTTTTTTTAACTGAAGCTTATTTTGCCAGCTCCTGTGCGAGCAGGAGGGTTTCACAGTTGGAAGAACATTATTTGATAGACCCTATTGCCAACTACATGTAACATAAGCACCTAGTTTTGTGGTATGAAGTCCTGTCAGAGCAGGAACAATCTATTGCTAATTTATAGTTACGTTCAGCAAACTATGGAATCAGTTGCATTCCTGTATTGCATATCCCGCTACCACCCCCTAGAAAACAAAATGTTGAAAGCTAGGTCTTTGCAACATAGATCAGGTTTGAGGCTTTAGATAATCCATTCTATAAAATGGAAATGATCTTAAGCAAACTGAATCTGAGCATCTTGCCCAGCTGGCTGCAGTGATTCAGTACCTGAGCACAAGCATGAAGGTGGGTACGTGTTGCTTCAGCCAGGCCTGCCCATGTGGTCTGTCCTTCTGGCTCCACATGCACTTTCGTAGTTAGCCCCAGTGAGATATCTGGAGCCTTGTATTTATTAYGATCAGTATTTCACTGTCTGAGGTTAGACTTAAAATAGAAATTAAAATTTCACCTTGCTAGTATCTTTAGGGGAAAAAAAATAAAGCTTTTTTTATTCCTAGTCCATAAATTCCCTTTGCAACCACCTGATTGCAGTTTTTTAGAAACCTGAAACTGAAATGYTACTTGCAACAACAGTATTTCAGCTGTTGTAGGCATTACTTTTTTAATATAACTAGATATTACTGTATATTGAGTGAACAGTCATCTGTGGTTCTGTTGAGTATCTTAATTGTCCCAGTACTTACCATCAACAAGATAGTATACACTCTCCTCAGAGACAATAACTAAGTAGACCTGTCATAAGTAAACTAGTAATATATATTTTTAAATTTTATTAACAGTTTCTGTATATAATTACAGCTTTATGCAGGAGCTGTCCTAGAGGTATGTGGATGAAAATTGGGAAGGTTCCCTCAAGTCCAGGGTAAGTAAAACCACTGTTTTTTTTCCTTYGCTATGAAATACTGTTGCAGCTGAATGGTCAAATATGTTTAAGTACTATTTACRAATAGCCTTAAATTTCACACATTGTACTGGAAAGGTTGCAGTGACCGGAGCCTTGTAGACATGTTCCCCAATAATCATTACACAGTTACCTGGCCCTGCGAGCTGCCGCCTTCCCGAGATCCTGCAGATGTTTGTCCTGGAAATGATTGTCGGACAGAGGAAACGCGGCGGTGCTGGAGYGAAATCGCGGCCCTCGGGGTGGGCTAGGAGGAGCTTCAGGAAGAAAAATCCGTGAGAAATTTCAACCTGGAACTTTCAAGTGGGCAAAGAACTTACTTATAGATGATAGCAGTACTTTATTTAGGTGTTTGTTTTGTTTTGTTTTCCCCCAGCAATGAAGTTCCTAATGCAGTATTTAGTATAGGCAGGACMCGGGGAGGAAAGAGCGATCTAGCTTTAGAAATAGAAATGCACAAGAAGCACATCTCCAGCTACCGTTGCCAGGCTTAGTATCACCCTGTTTTCCAGGCTGCCTGATGAACAAATAAGGAGAGTTTACAAACAAGAGGTTGCAATTAACGTAAATTTTGATGCCCTGGATGCTCTCCCGCCACCCCTTTCCACAAACAGTTCAGCTAATTGTCAGCATTACTAGAGGAAGGATTTTCTGTTCCATGCCATTTAAAACACCAAAACAGAAACTATTTGAAGGGCTTTTCCTGCTTTAGGGAGGTGAAGCTGTTAACATGGTGACCTGTAATCTCTGAATTACTGCATGTTCATTTAAATTTAGCAAAGATAAAAACACTCCCAGCTGTTGTTGCCCATTTACCCGGCTTCTTTGTGGACCCGCATCTGTAAGAGCTAGAGTTTGAGGAGAAAAAAATCAACTTGTTTGTCTGGCTTCAGGTTCCACCGTGTTCTCAGTGATCTTTGCATATTGCTCCTAGAAGGGAAGGGCCCTTAATCTTTGCCTGGTGTACAGCACTTGCTCCAAAATAGCAAAACAAGCTTAAAACAGTATAAAAAGAAAAATTTGAAAATGTAATGTCATATGGCTAGCTTGTGTTTAAAAAAAAAAGGCGTTTCTGTGGCTTTTCTATAGTTTTTCTGCTTTGAYTACAAGTTCTTGTTCAGTTCAGTGAGAAGGAAGCAGGACTGATGGGTACACTGAAGTATCTCTGTTTTCTCTTGATCACCAGTTTCACTCAGGTTTACTGCTACTGTAGCAGAACAGATTGGAAGATRTGTAGGAGTATATTTAAAAATATAAATAAAGTATTTCCTCAGCTGTTATTCATCTTCACACTAGTATTAATTTGAAAATACTTTTGCTTATTTTTTTTCCTTGATTTTTACTTTTACTAAAACAGTATTCAGTGACTCCGTCTTAGAATATAACATTGGAGAACTGCTTGTGTTTCTGCTTTTCAGTTGGATGTTACAGCAGTTAAGCTGCCTGAAGGTCGTGTTGCTGCTTTTGAAGCACTGTCTTTGTAGGCTTCATTGAACTGTGTAGTTTGTCATTGCCAATGTGTCGTTGCAAATACTTCTTTTTGATTCCTGCCTCGCTTCTCCTGCTAGGACTTTTTTTTTTCTTCCTGCCTTGCAGAATACACACAAAATGGCAGCACTAATTGCAGGACCATGTGTGCATTAGAACTGCATGGATTAGCATATGTTATTGCTGTATCTGACCTCCAGGTCATCTGTAATACTCCTGTAGGTTGCTTTGCAGCTTAGCTTACTCCCACAAAGTTGATTTGTCGCAGACTTGTCCTGGATCCTGGRTTACATTTTATTTGCAAGGAGAGTGAGTAGTGTTTTTTATAATGGGGTTCATAACTTAAAGTATTTGAGGAATTAATAGAGGTTCATAAAATTTGGACAAAAAGGGAGGACAGTCATAATTATCAAGTGCAATATTCTGTGGTAGTTACATATCAACAATTCCACCAGAATTACTGGTTGTATAAATTTTAGCTACAAATAGTATTTGCCTACACCTCAAAGAATATAAACATCTGTGTGTGTGTGTGTGTATATATATATATACAGGGAATATATTTATTGATATTGAGAAATAAGACAATAAATGACAAGTAAAGAAAAAAAAAACTAGTTCTCAGCAGGATACTTTCAGTCTATTTAAATAGAATATTGTTCTTTGTAATATCATTTCAGACTATTAAATGTTTTGCAAGTGTGGCCAAGGACATCTGCTATCATTTCCAAATACAGCTTCTCATGCTAAGATTCTGGTAACAAACTACACTTCTGTAAGTCTCTCCAATATGCTCTGTTACAGAGCAGTATAGATGCTGTATTGTAAAATTTATCCCTCTATTATATATAGTTAGATTTTTTTTTTTGCTGTAAAACAGCTCTTAAATTTTTATCATTTAAAGGCACTGCATCAAAGTAGACCATTGAAAACACAAGTGGCAAGATTTGTGGGTGCAGCCRTATCTTACTGGATCAGCCAGCACAAAATCTAGCACTGTTCTTAGCTGGCTCGCAGAGGGCTACCAGCGTGTCACAGAGACCGAATTAAGTGGGGCACCACCTAATCTAGCGCGTTTGTTTAAGCTGGCTCTTCAACAGCAGCTGTATCCTGCTGCTGACAAGAGCAGGGGCGACCATGTCCCGGCTCCTGCCTGCTTCCCGGGTGCTTTAACACAGACGGCGCTGGGCAGGCTCTGTCACCGAGCTCCGCTCTCGCCTTGCCTGCCTCCTCTCCCCTCTCCCTGTGTCACTGATTAAGCAGTGAACCTGCTCCCAGCAAATGGGCTGCAGGAACAAGGTCCTGACTCCACAGGAACTGCACAGCCTGCAGCTCCCTGAGCTCTCTAGCTTACTTGGGAGTTACTAAGCACTGTGTCCCTCAGGTGCCATGAGTGTGATGGGATTCTTTTAGTTACCAAAAACACTTTGTCACAGGACTGTACTTTTAGGTGAGATTCCTTATTTCCTGGTTATTTTTATTTGTAATTCTTAACTTTGGGTGAAGAGGTTACAGAGCTATACTAGTGCTAAATCTTGCATTTTGTAGAAAAGTTGCTGAAATGCTTACCAAGATATTTAGGATAGAGAAGAGGGAGTTATTACATGGGTATTTTTTATAATTGTAAGTAGATGATACGCAAAGTAAATTTGATACAAACATTCCAATTCCATATGAATGTTCTGTCTTAAAAATATCACTCTTCTATTCCTTTGGTTTTGGTTATTTCTCTTCTTTTCGATGGCCGTAGGCACTTAAAGATTAGCAATAGCACATTAGAACCTAGTTTTTATCCTAACTCATTTCAGATACTGTCAAGTCCGTTTTGTCCTTTTTTACTTAAAAATCTGTGACATTCTGTAATAGTTTTCAAGCAGTTGTTGCTAGCAAAATGATGGGTTTTGCCTTCAAAATGCTTGTATCCAGTAATTCAGGGCCCGATTCCAGGCAGTGCTTCAGCCAGGTACCTCTGATTTTGTTGGTTTGTGCTAATGATTGAGTTACACTTGTCTCTCCTCACTTGATTTAAATTAACTCCTGCCAACAACCATTTCTATGCAACCTTAGCTGTACGTTAACCTTCCTCTCCTGGGTTAATATCAGGTCACTTCAGTTATTCCCTGTGCCTCATTTCATGTCYATTTAGGCCTTCTTACTTTTGAGTTGTAAAAATATGAATTGTATATGCGACATTCAGAGTTATACAAAAGACAATGCTAGTTTGCAACAGTAAATTAGTCCTTTGAAAGACAATAACAACTGAAATTCTTCAATACTCTTAGATTCTTGTTAGAAGATATGCCATAGTTTATCCAGAAGCGAAAAGTTGGCAATAAAAATGTATTGCCTCCATTATGCTAAAGATTGGATTAGTTGATGGTTTTTGTGGCTGCTTTTCTGGCAAGTTGTTTCATTCTGCATTTTTTCTGGTTACAGCTCAAGCAGGAGATGTTTACTCCTACGGAAAGATTGTAAATAGGCTAACGCTGCTGAACGTAGTCCTCCATGGCATCTTGTGCCATGGGTAGGTACCCTAGATGGGCAAAGGAGTTAGGCCTCGCATGTAGCTCTGAAGCTTATYAGAGACAGATATGGAGTCTTATTATGAGTCCGAGTTGGATAGTGGTAGACGCTGCCAGAGCTCAGCTGGAATAGCACAGAGGAGTGTGCATGTGAGCTTGCAGTTTGGGCGTGAGTGATACTGAAATTCCTTGGGAATCTTCATGTGAGAGTCCTGGTTTTGACCCCCGCAGACAGGCACTCGTGGGCTCCCTCACGAGGACAGCGGGAGGTTTCCCTTGTGCGCTGCTCCGTGGCAGGGGGTGCTGTGACTTTGTCCAGAGCATTGCTCCATCTGGGCTTTCTCTTTCTTTGCAGGGCAATGTCCGTGCACCCCTAAACCTTCTTTCCCTCTCACCATTGGCAAGATGGCCTTGGAGAGCTGTTGGTAGCCTCTGTAGTGCTTGCAGTAGCCCTCTCGCTTGTCTTTTGAGGACAGGCTTTAGGGAAATCTGCCCTCTTTACTGCAGGCCTATGTTCTGCACAGCAATCTTGTCTGCTTCGGAGGCACACGTCAGGATTGCCTTCAAACTGCAGGCGCAAGCGCATATGGTAGAGTGATTTTCCTGAGATTGTGACAGGACAGTTGCAAAGCTGGTAGTAGAGGAGGTGTAATTTAGACGAGGACTTAGAGGAGGATAGCATTTAATTTACTTGAAACAGTGTCGTAGCACAAAGTTCAGAGTTCGTGTCACAGAAGGAGTCAAAGTGGAAAATTCCTTCCCCTTTCACCCCTGCATGGATTATATAACTTTTTTTTAGTGTATAATATCTAAAGCAGCTGCAGGGAGAGGAAGACTGCAAGATGGCTGGGATTGCAGTATTAAACATAAAGCTATTAATGATCACATAAAAATATGCAGGAAGCCCTTAGGCAGGATTATAGGAAGCAACAGCGTTAACGTTGGGGTAGAGAGGGAAGTGCGCTGGGGCTTGGCTGCACGAGGAGCGTGTTCTGCACCGCACGGGGCACCAAGAGCCGCCGGTGCCAAACGCGCCCCGTGCCCGCGGCCGCCTGCCTCAGCCCCGCAGCTCCGCTCAGCTTGGAGCTTCCTTCCGGAGAGCATCAAGTGCTGGACAGGATCGTGTGCATTTTTAACAAACATCAGTATTCTTGTTTCTCACTTCAGCTTCCGAAATTCAGAATATGGAAATTAAGCTGTTTGTGTAGTGAGTGTTGCTTCTTGTTGCATCACAGAAATTCAAGTGACTGGTGCAGAAAGTCCCTGTGATCAGCATTAGGAATAAATATATCAGTAGCAGAAAATGAGCTGGTTCCAGCTGTCTAGAGCTTGAGGAAAAATRTTCCATAGTGCTTCAGCTTCCAGTAAATTTAGACATTTGACATTGATACAAGTGTAATAGCTACTTTTAAAGTGACAAAATGTAATAAAACCTATAAAAATTTCATTCTTCTGCCTCATTCTGTTCACATTTTATGCAAGTTTGTTCACTCTGCAGCAGTGCAGCCGGAGTGGCAGCCACTCGTGTCCAGAGGAGCTTTGCTGTGTCACTCAGTGAACTAATCCTCACACCTGTTAAAAGCCTGAAGTGCTGTAACCCAAGCTAGCCCCTAAAGACCACTCTCTAAATGCAGTTGAGTTAAACACTTCACCTTTTGAAGCTCTATCCCTTTTGCTCTGCTGCTGCCTTACCACTTTTCTTGAAGCTTTACAGTTAAGTTACCCATTCTACTCACTTGGGGCAACTTCTGTCTCATAGAAAGCCTTACAGATTCATTTCAGCTTTAGGTTTGAATTGGGGAGAAGGGAAAAAAAGAAAGTGGAAGAATTGCCTCTGAAGTAGTCTGGCCTGCTTGAGAGAAGGGAAAAAAATATACAAGAAAGCAGTAGTAATAATAATTCTTAAAGTTATTGCAACTTTACTGCATTTTACTACTAATGACAGTAAAGACAAATAACAAGCCATAAGGAGATGGGAAACAGTGATGCTAGGAATGATTTGTCTTTGGGAGTTCAACTCTAATTAAACTCACATGCAGTATTTGAGCAAGTCCTGGGTACTTGCAGCTTTGCACGCAGTTGTGTTTGCCTCTTGCTATGCATATGTGCAAATGTAACAGGAGCCTCCTGCTCTCGTGCAGGGCTTAGCGCAGGCATTTTCTAAAGCATTACTCCAAAAGAAACAGTCTAAGGTATGTTAAGTTTAACATAAGTCTACTTGATGCAGGTGGAAAAGGACTGATTTATTCTGTTTTGTTTCCCCTCCCGTCTTGTCTCTAAACTGTAGCTTTCGTCAGGAGTGACAAGCCAAAGCTCTTCAGGGGACTGCAAATCAAGGTGAGTTTGTATTTGGGATGCTAGGAAGAATAAAACTTAGCAGAACCAGTCCTTTTGTGGATGCTTTGTGTGTAAAAGCTTTTAGCAGAAGGCAGGTTTGCAATGCTGGTATAAATTTTTATAAGCCTCTTCTGCTAATATTGTTTGGTACCAACTTATTATTCTTTCTCATCCATCAAAAGTATCTATAAGTAATAGCAGATGGCAAAAGAATGTAAAGAATATTCCCATCCTGTTCTGATTCTGGGGATATCTTAAATTTATTAGAGCTTCTACTACCACTTCAGTTCATTCTTTCCTGTTCTCCCCTCCTTTGCGGACGCAACTACCCCATCCATAAATTTTGATATGTGTGTGTGCCATTTCTCTCCCCTTCCCTTCTCCTGGGCCTTCCTCCCCTGTTGTGTGACTCTTACCCCTGCCCGTGGCCCTCTGCTCTGCAGCTTTGCAGGGCGGTCATTAAAAGCACCATTCAGTGCACTCAGAGCTGTATGAGCTGCAGCGCMCCGAGCTCAAACAAGTCTTCAGTGCCCTCTTGGTTTCAGGATCTATCCTAAACCTCCCCACGTACTCGTGGACTACAAGCTTGTTTCACAGACACACATCGTCTTCCCTCTGGCATCTCTGCGCTCCCGTCTCTCCCCACCAAACGGCACCATCTGGAGCCGCTTCCTTGCTGTGCACGGCTGCTGTTCGTGATTTGTCTCCTCAGCAGCAGATCCCATCCAAACCAGACTTCATCTGTCTCATGTGTTCATGTTGTCTCTATATGTGTCCTCCAGCTTCTTTCAGGAGCTCTCTCTCCTTCTGCGTGTCTGGCTGTTTCATTTTTATTTTAAACTTTGTAGCTATGTGGAACTTGAAAGCAGCCTGGACTACAGTTGACAAGAACACTAGCAGGAAAAAACGTTCACTACAAAAGGGTCTGCTCTTCATTTTGCAAGGCTTGAGGAAAGCTGATGCCACTAGCTTCATTAAGTGGAACGAACTAGGTTATCTCAGAAGGGAAAGTAAAACACTTTGGTGGAATTCCTTCTATAAACTTGAATGGTTTAGATCCTTCTAATACTGTTAAAAGCTTTTGTTTGCATTTATATACTTTATGACTTGGGAGTATTCAGAAGCATTAAAGTGTTATGTTACCAACAAATCCAATAGGCAGAGATGCAACACAGTAGGCAGCAATGCAAACACATTCGAAATGGGTAGCAGATCTTTGAACTGCTAATGGGACTAGAAATCTCTAAAAGTATGCCAAGCAAATGGTGAAAAGCTATTTATTACATGAAAAGAATCATTTAGCTGCTTTTGATTCAAACATGAAGCTTTCAGTTGCTTAAAACAGTTGAATGCCCGTCTTTCCAAGCCAGCCTTAGGGTACTGCCCTCGGCATATGAATCAGCTTGTATAGAGGACCAAGGAGAACAAGTAGCTATTCCTGATGCATAGACATGTGCTTATTTGTTTGACTTGTTCTTCCACCATTCTCTCTTTGACATTAAATAGAGGTCAAAAGACTGAGCCGAAGCTGGGTTTTACCTTTTATTTAAGGTAACTAACAATCTTTGGGGGTGTTAAGATAAATATTTACTGTTGTCAGAGTAATGAGCTCAGATTTTCCATGGCATGAGGCCCCTTAGCGCCTCAGCCTCCTTCTCTTCTCTCACCCTCTTGGGAGCAGGCACAGAAGCCCCTGGCCCAGAGCTGGGATGTCCTGGCCCTGCTGCCCCGGGTGTGGGACCTGCAGCATCTCTGCTCCCAGGGGAGCGACTCCCTCCCCTGGCTGCTCCTCCGTGCCCACCCAGCTCTAGCTTTAACCACCCTTGCTTGATTTTGTAGGTCTCTTCTTTTGAAGGAAGGTAGAAGACCGCATTGTTCATTAACACTACAGTAATGAAATTCATAAAAGCAGAAAAATACGCGGCATTGAAATATCTGTTGCATTAACTAAACATTATCAGAAAATTATCTGATCATACTTGTTTAATTTTAAACATAATCTAAACTTAGGCAATATAGTTTGTGCAGAGAAATTAAATTTGCTCAAAATACTGACTTTCAGTTAGTGCTCTGCATTTAAATATTCATCCTTTCTGGTGCTACTCATTGAACTTTTTTCTCTTCTTGCTTATGTATCTTTTAAAGTGATATAAAACACTTCGGGAGCAAGTATTAAAATGGGTAATGCATTTCCCTGCCCCAGGAAACAGACTTTTTTCTTTTTCTTTGTACAGTATGTGCGTGGCTCTGACCCTGTACTGAAGCTGCTGGACGACAGCGGGAACATTGCTGAAGAATTGAGCATCCTCAAGTGGAACACAGATAGCGTGGAAGAATTTTTAAGTGAAAAACTAGAACGTCTATAAAGTTGTTTTCAGTTCTTTTCCCTTTTGTGTTTTGTCATAGTAATCTTCTCAGATCAAATTTGTCCTAATTGAAAATGCATTCCAGCTTCTGTATTATTTCTCTTAAACATCTATTTTGCTGTACTAAATGCCTCTTAATTAGAAGGGGAAGCTTCAGCACACACATCTGACAAGTTGACAAACAGAATAGCTCATCTTAATATATTTCAGCTCTTAGTGCATTTATCACTAATGAAATGCTTTGTTACAAACTTAATTATGCAATCATCAATTTGCTATAATTTGACCTGCTTTTATGAACACTTTTAAAACCAAAAAGCTTCAACTATCTGAAAAGATTACCATGCCTTTTGTATGCTGCTCTGTAAAAACAGCAGAGCCAAATGCAATGTACTGTCTCTGGAAGTCCAAGAGGACAGCTAGTGTCCTCTTCTATTTTCTATTTGAACTGTCTTTTTTATAGAAGATTTGTTTACAATGAGTATCTAGTTCACAAGTTTGGAAGTGGATGGAGGAACTCATGCTTTGGTAAGAGTGAAACATTTAATAAGTACACTTTAGTGAAGACTACATAGAAAACCTCTGTGGTGTGTGCAAGTCCGATGTCYGGTGTGCTTTACATTAAATGTTTTGCTTCAGAAAGCATGAGACAGAAGGAAAGKCTTTTCAAGATGGTTATAAATTTTCAGAAGTTTGTCCAAATGAATTTCTAAACAGTTCTTTTAAAATGCATGTTTTTCTTTTACAGTTAAAGTTTATGTGAATAAAGAAAATATAGACTGCAGGTAATGAGTCAAATCACTTATGACTTGTCAGGTTTTCTCCCCCATTGAATGAATGAATAAATATAGTAAGCAAGATTAATGTGGTTTCTTGAAGTTGGATGAGCAAGTGAGGGGTCTGCCTTTAACTATTTCATGCTCAACAGCATTTGATTGGATAGCTATTATAGTCTGTCTTTTTTTCTTTTTATATGCTTTTATACCTCCACACTTCTACTTACTCTTCAATTTTCAGATTTATTCCAAACTTGTAAGAAATAATTATCAGCTGTAGTCATTAGAGACAAAAACCATACAGACTAATAACAGATTAACTTACCCAAAGTATCAAGGGCACAAATTGCTCCTATGTTGTCCTACTTGGTCAGACTCTCCCTCTTAGTGCATGCCTGCCAGTCCCTATCTGTACAAARCATGATCCTTATTTTCCAAAGGACCCAGAGTGGGACACTTATAATCTTGGTCACCACAGCCTTGGCAAAAGATAAATACAAACTCTACACAAAAAGCAAGCAGCTTGTGCTAACTGACCAGTCTAAAGGGGATTTGGTTTTGGGTCATGCGATATACTAGTCAGCAGATGAGTTATGGACAAAATATGTGGCATGATAATGCTGTATCTTGGTAGTAAAAGCATGCTGCCATCCACTGGTCTTCAAGTATATGACTTCTGTATTTTGGTACCTTACATGTGCCTACGCAGAGATTTCAGTGTCTCTGTGGATGATTTATCATGCTGTTTAGCAGAGTACTTGTAGTTTCATCCTTCTCTCCGTGCCCTCCAGCCTCAGATCTCTTTTGCTGTTCACTAGAGGGAGTGTTTACTTAATTTTGCTAATAACCAAATATTTGTCTCGGCTTTGACTTAAACCAGCAGTATTTACTACTYTCGCTGTATTTCCTACCTGGTAATTCCTGATGTGACAGGTGGGTTGCTCACTTTCAGTCACTCTCCTCTTTCCTCGTTTTCCTGCTCGTAGTCCAGACCACTACATGCCTGTAYACATCATCCTCCAGCACCTGCTCTTGTTACTGCTGTTCTTCTTAGCCTTGTGAGCAAGGAACTCATTCTTGTACCAGAAGATATTTAGACCATCATGGAKGAAGATGACAGGCCACAGAACTAGTCCTTCCTATGACTAGGTTTCATGCCAAGAGGCCCATATGGAAGTTCCTGCAGGCTCTTACTTTCCCTGTCCCAGTTCTCACCGGGTTTCCTTGAGGAGCCTGCTAACGATGCTTTTTCCGCCTCCAGCCTTGCTCCTAGGATCTCCGTTTCCTGATTCTTATCCCATATACAGATCTTGTCTCATAATACAGRCTTTTTAGCTTAAGAGTACACACCAAGTACATTCCTGCCTCTTGCTTTTATTCTGCTGTATCTACTATGCATTCAACATACCTGGAGATCTTCTGTTACTGAGCTGCTGACTGAACCCACATGATCTGCTTCTAGGAGAAGCTCAGTTACCTTCAGGCCCTGCTGCCTGCACACCCAGATGCTCATCGAGTCTTGCCTGCAGCTTCCACATCGCCCTTGCTTTGCTTCCAGTCTGTGGTTTGGATGATACTTAGGTCCCCAGCTCGACAGCCARCTGCTAGCACCGTTTAGCTTTCAGGCAAAAGGAGCTGGACCCTGTGTTGAGAGGGACACTGGGAATGGGGTAGTGGGTCTTGGGGAAATTCTTATTTTATCAGGGTGTTATAATCTGATAAAATACCACCCCCTTCGAGTCAGCAGCTGCAAAAATACAGAGCTCAAGTCCAGTTTCAATTGTGGCCATTAACTATAGAATATACAAGGTGTAAAGCTCCTGTTAAAAAGGAAGTGATTCACTTATAGCCCTGATAAGCACCCAGTGCTTCATGAAAGGCATTCACTTGGATTCATGCAGGAATGATTTAGTCCTGCATAATGCTGCTTGTGTTAGATCTTGAGAGAGATAATGAAAGGGAGGGTAGACACAGCAAGGGTGCCTGACCGAGCAGAAACATGAAGTGTCCATCTATGGAACTGCTCTTGCAGGAGAGGGTGGCAGCACTTTGAAATCCAGAGTGTTGCACAGTCTGTTTTCTGTACGTGTATGAAGTTGAAGCCTAGTGTACAAGCTGCTTGAAGGGGTTCCCTGGGTACCCAGTTCCTGTTGCRTACCCACGGCCTGCTGAACTGTGAGCCAGTGCAAAGTGTTTGTAGCAGACAGTTATACACTAGTCTGCTCTGAAAAATCTCTCAAAAATGACAGAAAAGATGAGAAAACTAAAAATAAGTTTAATATTTTCATAGACATTTAACAGTATTTTACATTTAGTGGTAACAAGTGCATGAATTGTGGGCAGCAGAACAATCGAGCAGGACCGTGGATGAGAAGAGGATTGTTTACTAGAAAGAAAAATGCATGGATATTACAAAGCTATTTTCCTTAAATATCTCATTTTTTGATCCCCACAAAAATGGAAGAGGTTTGCACTCAAAACAGAGCGTCTATCTCCTGTTTTAAAAACCATGGTTAACAATGAATGATACAGGCTTTCAAACGGGTAACTCTTCTAAAGAAAAGCAGCTATAAGCTAATGTAACAGAAGAAATTTATTTATGGGGAAAAATAACTATCACAGAATCACAGAATATTTAAGGTTGGAAGGGACCTCTACAGATCATCTAGTCCAACCTTCCTGCTCAAGCAGGCACACCTAGAGCATGTGGCACAGGGTGGCATCCAGGCGGGTTTTGAAGACCTCCAGRGMAGGAGACTCCACAACCYCCCTGGGCAGCCTGTTCCACTGCTCTGTCACCCTAACAGTAAAGAAGTTGCTCCTCACCTGGAGACGGAACTTCYTGTGCTTCAGCTTGTGGCCATTACCCCTCGTCCTATCGCTGGCCACCASTGAGAACAGCYTGTCCCCTTCCTCCCTGCATTYTCCCTTCCTGAACTTATACATATTAATCATATCCCCTCTGAGCCGTCTCTTCTCCAGAGAAAACAGGCCCAGCTCACTCAGCCTCTCTTCATACGAGAGATGTTCCATTCCCTTAATCATCCTGGTTGCCCTTCTCTGGACCCTCTCGAGAAGCTCCACGTAACTATAATTATTTTATATATATAATGTTAACAATCAAACTAGCAGAAACAAACTGCAGCAACGTTGTTTTGTTTGCTTTAAGCCCCCTTTAATACCATTTTGGTTAAGTTGGCAGCAGGAGGGTAATCAGTGAGTCAACATCTTACCGAGACACAGGACAAGCTTCTGGATTCTTAACTTACTCCCGAAGTTTTTACACTGGTGAGATCCCACTATAAATCATGCTGGATGGAATGGGAAGGAGTGAATCAATCTTAACTATAAGCCCACAGATTCAGCTGATATATTTCCTGGTGTCCRTATAACGGAAATCCTCAGAGGAGGCTGTGTCTGCAGTTGATATATGGGAATAAGCAGATAATGGATTTACAATAGAGAAGTTTAACATTTCCAAAATGATTCACTAGAGCAGTTCCACAGCAGGCCCTTCTTGGCCAGCATCCAGTATTGCAATACAGTACCTGGGGGCTAAGAACGTACCCMCCTGGGGGCCAATCCATCCAGCACAAAAGAAAGCGTCTCCCAAACATCAGGAAAGGCCACGATCATCCACAAGAACAGAGGGAAGAGGGACTCCACAGCACATATTCACCTACATCTCTCATCTTTTCCTTTAGGAAACTGAGCAAAGTCAGGGATAGTTGTGCATGAGAAGGTGATTGACATGATGCATCTCAGTAACTTCAGAAGAAGGGTTCCAYGGCATGGGCAACAGCATAGAGAACCAGCGCACAACCACTATCGAGATCCTGCTGTGCCAGAAGGAAGGASATTCCATGAAGCTAAGGTTAGGGGAGCAATTCACCTTTCCATCTAGGCTAATTCTTCATAGTACAGCATCACATCATGCTCGGAGTCCTTGTTTGACCAAATCACTCACTAAAACACTGAGCCCTTAAATACAGAGAAGAGCTTTCCAGGGGGAGAATCGATGCAGTTTAAAGGCAGAATAGTTATCAAACCCATTTCTGGGCCACAGTTCTTGATTAGGATCTGAATTCCACAGGCAAGCACACCCTCCTAGGCCATGAGGATAAGCAAAGAACAAGGCAGTTAATTCTTTACCCTACCCCTATCTCAGTCAACCAACCCTGTTTCTCCAGGAGCCACCTTTTAGCCTGCCTGACCCAATCTCCAGATCAGGAGAGGCGCTGGCCCCTGGTAGGAAGAGATCTTGACAGCAAACACGGGCACATCTCTACCTCGCAGCTGTGGGTGACTCACTGCAAAGTACCGCAGAGCTGTCGTATCTACGCAGTGCAGCGAGGATGCGGCCTGCAGGATCGTTGTGTCGCTGTGCGCCAGCAACAAAGCAGTTTCCCTACAACCCAGCAGCGAGGGAGGGAGCCTCCACATTCACAGACCAGCTATATGTGCCCCAAAAGCAGCAGCTTGGTCTCCAGAGTGGAGTCTCACTACTGCTTTTACCGGATTAGTGGCATTAGCCAACATCTAGTACCTGTTTTTATGACTTTCCACTTCTCAACTGCTAATGACTCACAGCCACAAGCAAACCTTGGACCATGGCCACGCACTTCAGTCTTCACTTTCTGCTTCCCCACAGACAGTCACTGTAAGAGAAGTGAGAATGTGGGTGGCACTGGGCCATGCGACCTTTGTCTATCCGAGAGGATCCATAATCTTATTTCTAGCGTTGTGTG